CCACTGCCGTTGAGTCAATTCCAACTCATAGTGACCCTATAGGACAGAGTAGAACTGCCCCATAGGGTTTGCAAGGAGCGGCTGGTGGATTTGAACTGCCGATCTTTTGGTTAGCAGCCAAGCTCTTAACCACTGCACCACCAGGGCTACAGCCACAGAAAAATCTGTCCCATGGATTTTTCTGGATTCAGACTGCTCCTTCCACACTCAGTTAAATGCTACTTAAGGTATGACAGCTCTTTCAAGCAAATTTAAGACTGGCCCCTAAGCAACTAATTCGTAAGAAAAGCCCCCAAAGCAGTCTTGGTCTTTCATGGTTTATACTTTCCTTTGGGGATGAATTACCTGCAAGTTCCCCAGGAAGGGGGGGATTTGTGCTCTGCCACCCTGTGACATATATTCATCCTTCTGCACCCCACTACCCCATGTGTCCTTAGACAGTGTTATGGATTAAATTGTGTTCCCCAAAAAGATATGTTGAAGTCTTTGCCCCGGTATCTGTGAACGTTACCTTGTTTGGAAATAGGGTCTTGAAGGTGTTATCAGTTAACATGCAGTCATAACAGAGTATTATGGGTGCTAATCCAACTAAGTGGTGTCCTTATAAAATAGGAGAAGAAACAGAGAGAGAGACGAAAGCCATGCGAGGATGTTTAAAGCCACCCACTTTGTGGTACTTTGTTACTGCAGCCCTAGGAAGCAACATGGAGCCCTGGTGATGCAGTGGTTAAGAGCTTGGCTGCTAACCAAAAGGTCAGCAGTTTGAATCCGCCAGCTGCTCCTTGGAAACCCTATGGAGCAGTTCTACCCTGTCCTGTAGGGTCACTATGAGTTGGAATTGACTCAAAGGCAACAGATTTGGGTTTTTTTTTGGTTTAAGAAGCTAACATAGGTGCTTACCTCGCCCATGTTCCTTGGATTAAGAAAAGTTATCTGCCTTCCAGGGTCTCTCCCAATTTCTCTGCCTTCTCTTGTTTCTATGGGTTGAGGCAGATTTTTCTTCTCCCACTCACCTGCGCTTTTTCTGCAGGAAGGAATTGGTAGTGGTGGTTGTAAATATTTAAACCATGGTGATCATCCGTTCTTAGTCGTCTTTACTATTTATTCAAAAGATCCTCAGGCACACAGACAGAGGTCCTAGTAACCTGTCAAAAACATTGGCAGTTAATTGAGGCCATCCTCCAACCTCTGCTATTCAACCAATAACGATGATCATTCTGCAATTACAATCTGATCAACACCCAATCATGGCTTTCCTCATTAAATGAGTTAGTATTCCATCTAAGGGTGTCATAACAGTGTTCTGGTTTTTAGCTATTATGATAGTATCATGTTCTACACTCCACATTCTCTAGAATTACTCAGATTTTTAAATACTCAGATTTATGAGTGTGATGCAAAGAGGTAAGTGGTGTAACCTCCCAAATGTGGAATGTCTTCACAGCAATGGGAAAGAGAAAATAGAATAGAGATTAAGAATAGACTCTTTTCACATTTTGCTAACCTAGGTTTCTCCCATTTTATACTTGTCCAGTTGCACCCCTCCTCCCCAACACCAATGGTTCTTAAACTTTGTCCATCAGAACCTCCTGGGGGCTTGTTAAAAAAAGATTACTGGCCTCACTCTCCAGAGTTTCTGACTTAGTAGGTTGAGGTGGAGTCTAAGAATTCATATTTCTATAGCAAGTTTTCAAATGATGCTGATGCTTTGATCTGGGAACTATTATCTTGAGAACCACTGCCCTACAGATAAATTTAGAACCTGACATTTAAAATTGCATCTTGTTAGAATCAGGTCATTGTTCCAGCTTGCCAACATCAATCAAGATCCTGTCTGTCATTCATTGCATTTGCTTTGCGGCATCCGCACGTCTGAGAGGCATGTCTCTAAATCCTCATACAGGTCACTGATAAAAATGTGGACAGGTCCTGGCTAAGGACAAAGTCCAGGTAAGGCAATTAAACTCCTAGCTGGCAGGCTGACCTCGATCCATTATCATTGGTAGCATTCTCAATCCTGATTAAACTTTAAAATCACTGGGGAGCTTCAACAACAAAATCCAGGCCCACCCGGAAGCATCTGAACTAATTAGCCTGGAATACCCTTGGACACCCTACATTTCAGGAAAGAATCTGATTTGGGCTCCTTATTATATGTACCACCCTTGTGAAACTGAAGCAGACCTTTCCCTTGCTTTGTATTTTGAAGTAATCAGACATGGTTCCCAAAACTTACTGCAGTTAGAAGACTGGGGATGAACTCTGACCCTGTGGCCAACCATTAGGAGATTTGAACGTCTCCTCACCTCACCTAGCTATTTTCCTTGTAAAATGAGGTGGGAGGTGGTGGTTCTAGTATGAAGTAGAAGGTTCCCTCCAGCTTTCCTAATCCAAGATATTTTTGAATCATGCTGAATCTTTAAAGTTCAATTTAAATTTAAGACAGTGTGGCTTGTGAAATATTTTACATCACATAGAAAGTTTGTGGGTTTTAATTTGTAGAATGTTTGGTAACGTTTGACAGAGGGGTGGGCGATGGGTGAGAGAAAGTCCGGAGTGCCAGTAGTGGTCTTCTGCAGTTTTTAGTCTTCAACAGTGCACCATCACCAACCTTCGAAGTCAAACTATATCCATGGATCTGAACTCTATGAATTACTGATCATGTATGCTGTACTTGGACGAAGGGCCTCTGCAACATGGCTCGTGCGTGCATGCTATCATCCAAATTAAGTGGGTTCCAAAATTAACCATGGTGGTTTGTACAGTGTTAACTTGGGTAAGTGAGAACTATGTTTCCCTTCTCTGATGGTTCTAAGAACTGGTCAAAGGCATATTTGGATGAGATTTGGAACGCAACAGTTACACAAGGGCCATTTTTCTCTGAAGATTGTTGTAGTCAAACGTGCTGACTGATGGACAAAGAGATGCCTGGTGAGTTCCAGATTGTCCTTACTCTCCTCCACTCCACCTCCAGCTATTGTTTCAAGAGACCCCAGACCCACCACCAGACACCTGGCTACAGCTCCACAGAGGTGGTTGCTATACAGCAGCAACAGCTCCCCATAGACTCCTCACAGTCACCCTGCCTAGACCCACACTGGCAGCTGAATACGTTTTGCTTCTAGATTGACTGGTGACTTCTCTGATTCACACACCTCCTCTGGACCTTCACTTCCCCAGCTCCTCACACAGTTGTGTTTGGTCGAATTCCTGTAACAAATCCCGTACCCCCTAACACTTAGAGCGACTCTTCTCAGGTTCATCAACCAAACCAAACACACAAATTCCCAATGTTCTGACTACATGTAGCCCTTAAGAGAACCAAACTGAGTGTTGAGCATAGAAGATATTCTTATATATGCTTTATGCAACAATAGTATGCTTCTTGAAGGCTCATAATGTCTTAAGTGTAAAGGAGGCATAAATGCTTTCAAAAGAAAGATAGCCTTCCAGTGCACACGTAGGTGTGCATATGTCTGTGTGTTGAAGGAAGTATAATATAAAACTTGTTGTTATTGTCGGGTGCTGTTGAGTCAATTTTAGACTCATAGCGACCCCATGTGACAGAAGAGAACTGCCCCATAGGGTTTTCTTGGCTGTAATCTTTTAGACGGGTGGGTTTGAACTGTCACCCTTTCAGTGAGCAGCCAAGCACTTAACTGTTGCACCACCATTGGCTCCTTTAAACCAACGAAACTTACTTGGTTTAAAAACTGGCCTCTGAGAGTCCTCACACAGTGATGTGAGTTGGCTCCACGTATCTTTCTTTCCCCTTCTAATTCACAGGCTGAGACTATGTCCGTGCCATAGCCACAAGTTCTTGTCAACAGTCCCCTCTGCCCAGTGCAATCTTGTAACAGCACTCATTGTCACAACTAATGTAGCTGGTCTCATTAGTGCTAACATTAACACCCTGTGCAGAAGTGTTACAACCAACCTAACAAGCACTTGGGTAACACTGGGAACACAGACTCCAATATAGCTCACATGATTTCACTGATGGTTAGGTCATAGTCACACTGTGACCTGTAGGTGTTCATGAGGTATTCATTCACTCCTGGGCTGAAAAGCAAAACTCCGAAGTTCAAAAAAGAAAAAAAAAAAAAAAAAACCAATAAAAAGGGTGGACTTGAATTATTGTTTTATTGCTTTCTTTCTCTTGTTTAATGCAGAGCCAATATTCTTAAGTAATGTACTAAGATGTCCAAAACCCAACACTATTAAACATTCAAACAGTAAAATATGATGTGGAAAGATTCCCTCAAACGTCAGCTCCTCTTAAATGTATCTGGTGGAATTACTAAGGATGCAGGCTACTGGACTTGTCATCTTGCTTTTCATAGAACTGCTAGACTCTGACGCAGGGAACAGAAAAGAGTCCCAAGTGCCAACCGTTTAGGTATTGGGGGCAGCACTTCTGCCTCCCTTTGAAATGGCTGGGGAGATTTAGAATAACTCCAAATATGGCAATCCTTCTTTTCACTCCATGCTTAAAAGAGACCCCACTGCTGACAGAGGTAAAAGAAACTCCTTCTGGAATAGCATCGTGGCTACGATTATAAAAAGAAAGACCAAAGTGATCCTGTTGTCAAGGAAGGGATAGGTGCCTGCATCCTTATTGCCTCACTAACCCAATCCTTTGTAAGAAGACAATTTGCTCTAAGACCAAAGCTTCATGCAGTGACCAAATGAGACCTGGGTGGCTGTGAGCAGCTTTTTGCTTGTTGAAGGCACAGGGTCCTCATCATCCTGAGGGTGGAGGTTAGCTTCCAGACTAAGGCAAACTAGGAAGAAAGGCCTGGCAATCTACTTCCAAAAATTAGCCAATAAAAACCCTCTGGATCACAACAGTCCAATCTGCCCCTGATCATGGGGATGGCCCAGGACCGGGCAATGTTTCATCCTACTGTGCGTGGGGTCGCCATGAGTTGGGGGAACGACCTGATAGCAGCTGACCATAACAACAAACCTTGGAAAAACTGCCGTCGGCTGCCATACATCTGATTGCAATTTCAGTCTCCTTCTTTTTTGAAAGTCCCAGCATTTTTGGCACCGATGAAGATCCTGATGTACCCTGCTCCTTCGGCAATGAATCAGATTTCCAAGGGCTACTAGACTGCATTACATCTTGCAACAAACAAAAATAAACACACAACTCTGCAATATGAATATGAAACTACAACAAAGATATAAACATCAGGCTCTACAACTACAGACCACGAGCTAGGAATAGCTGGTAGTCTACAGAAAACGGTGATTTTCCCATAAAAAATTTATCTACCGTGATTTTGATCAACAATACTAAAGGGATAAGCAAAAATGTATGAAAACACTCTATTATTTTTAAAAAGACAAATTTCCTTAAACACTAAAGACGGTGATAAAATTCAAGTTATCCAATTTAAACAAATTACTTTCAGTCCTTCCCAATGGTCATCTTAGGCTCGGTATGTAACATGAATGGACAAGAGCTAGTGATGCTGACAGTCCCAGAAACCCTCTTTGGAAGAATGAGGGACCCACACATTCTCCAGAGGACTCATCTCGATCCCTTTTGGCTTCTGAAATTCCACCGGAGTGTGCACGTTCTTCAGAGTCCCTGGGTGGCGTAAATGGTTAAGCACTCCACTACTAACTGAAAGGCTGGTTGTTCAAACCCACCTAGAGGTGCCTCGGAAGACAGTTCTGGCGATATGCTTCCAGGAAGTCTCAGCCACGAAAATCTTATGGGAAGTTCTACTCTGCACACATGGGGTCGCCATGAGTTGGACTCGACCTGACGGCAACTGGTTTGGTTTTTGGGTTTATGAATGTTCTTTACAAACACGATGATACTAAAATAGGAAGCAACAAGGAAACATAAAGGTGCATTTATTCATGTCCATGCCATCTAAATCTACTGAGTACAGTAATCAGGACCAGAAGGGGACCAAATTAGAACCAAAACAACAGAACATTTGCCCCACTGAATCACAAGTTTTAGTTCAGAAGAATCTGTGTGCTGGCAAAGCCAGTTTCCTCCCTGAGAAGCACACTTCACGCTTCGTTCTCTCCCGCCAGCATTTCCTCTCTCTCTGCGTTAAGGCTTGGACGCTGTGAGGTGATGGTGCAATCTCCCCTCCGGAGGGGTCCTCTGGGGAGGCGCTCTCCCCTGCCGTCAGTCACCCGCAGGCTCAGGCTGAGTGAGGGCTGACTCTGTGCTGCTCAGCTCAGCCATCTGCCTCCGCAGCTCCTCCACCATCTGCAGCAGAGCAGACCTCTCCAGCTCTAACGCCAAGGTCGCCTGCTTCAGCTTGCTTTCGCTGGTCAGAAGCTTCTCAACTGTAGCTTCAAGACTTTGGATCCTACCATTTGCCACCTGGAGAATAAAAGAAGAAATGAGAACAGAATTGCCCAGTGATAACAAAGCAGGAATCAATCAATTGAACATTCCACCGTCCAGCCTTGGGGGTACTTTGGAGCCATATTTTGACAGAGCCAAGTCTAGGTGTTTATTACCAGTTCTTTTTCCAGGCCACATCACACAGGAAGGCTCCATTTCCCAACTTCCATTGCAGGTGGGCTGGGCTAGGCTCTAAAACCACCCCCTGAGATCCTCCAGCATCCCCTTCCCTTGATGTGGCTACTTTGGAAGCCACATGTGGAGATGGAGTCATCACAATACAGAGGAATCCTGAGTTCCCAAGTCTCCCACTATAGGGAGGAGGCCAAAGAATGCTTCTTGGGGAAGAGGTAGCGCTTCAGGAAGGAAAAAAAACAAACTTTTTTTTGTGCTAAGCCATTGAGATTTGGAGATTTATTACTAGCCTAGCCTTTTTTATGACTATGCACCTACCTACACTGGCAAACTGATTTTGCACTGACACAGTCAAAATGGCTTCTATGTGAAGGCTGCAGTAGAAACAGCTCTGTCACTGGAAATTTTTTTTTTTTTAATTTCCTTAGAGTAACAGACATCACAAGAGACATGGGGATTTCCCCCCAAGCATGTATGGAGTGCTTAGAATGGTCAAGCATTCTTCTAAGAGGTTGACGAGCCTTACCTCGCTGATTTGTCATTACCACCCAAGGAGAAGCAGCAACCTCATTCCCACCCTACAGATAAGAAGCGAGGCTCTCACTCAGTTTATATCTTCAGCACCTCCCATTACTGTTGAGTTGATTCCGACTCACAGAAATTGTCACGGATTGAACTGTGTCCCCCCAAACTGTGTGTCAACTTGGCTAGTCCATGATTCCCAGTATTGTGTGCTTGTCCACCATTTTGTCCTCCGATGTGATTTTCCTATGTGTTGTAAATCCTACCTCTACGATGTTAATGAGGTGGGATTAGCGCAGTTATGTTAATGAGGCAGGATTCAATCTACAAGATTAGGCTATGCCTTAAATCAATCTCTTTAGAGACATAAAAGAGAGAAGTGAGCAGACAGACACAAGGACCTTGTACCACCAAGAAACAAGAGCTAGAAGAATAGCATGTCCTTTGGACCAGGGTCCCTGTGCTGGGAAGCTCCTGGACCAGGGGAAGATTGGTGACAAGAACCTTCCTTCAGAGCTGACAGAGAGAGAAAGCCTTCCCCTGGAGCTGACACTCTGAATTCAGACTTCTGGCCTACTAGACTAGACTGTGAGAAAATAAATTTCTCTTTGTTAAAGCCATCTGCTTGTAGTATTTCTGTTATAGATGACTAAGACAGTAATCCTGTAGGACAGAGTAGAACTGCCCCATAAGGTTTCCAAGGGTAACCTTTATGGAAGCAGACTGCCACATCTTTCTCCCCCAGAGCAGTTGGTGAGTTCGAACTGCCGACCTTTCGGTTAGTAGCTGAGCACTTAACCACTGCACCATCAGGGCTCCTTCTTTAGCACCTAGCACACAATTAATGTCACTTAGATAGACCTTCCAGGTGCTTCTCTCTAGCAATTGGTCCTCCTCTCTCCAATCCTCTAGGACAGACTTCCCAGGCAACAAGTGAGCCGGCTCCAGGGATGCTGTGGGGTGCCCTGAGCAAACTGCAGGAACTTCAACATGTATTTTGATGGCCCCGAGGCCTTTCCGGCCTGTTCCTCAGCTCACAGCTGCATTTGGGAGAGCTCAGGTCATTGGGTCTCATGAATCCAGTCCAGTTTTTTACATTTTCCCATTTATTTTAGGTGGGAAAATGGTACATCTATTTTTCCTCATTTTCGAAACAAGGGAAACAGTTTTTTGAACAACACTAGTGCCAGACAGACAATTCATGACTCAGAGTCTAGCTCTGGCTAAGCTACTAGAACAATCAAAATAGAAGGACTGAGATCCTAAGAGCATTAGCTTCCAGGCAGGGGTGCTCACACTTGGTCTGTACAGCTAAGCAACACTCTGATTCTCAAAATCCCGCCCATCAGCAAGGCCTGGGCCAGGTCCCACCTCATCTCCAGAAAGGATCTCTCACTGCACCCTAAGGTATTATCACGTAATTAACTACTTTGCAGGGCATTTACTGTTCTGCAAGAATATCAAGTCTCCTAACGAGACTGAATGAGGCATTGGTGGTTCAGTTGTGGAATTCTTGCCTCCCATGTGGGGAGACCTGGGTTCAATTCACAGACTATGCACCTCATGCATAGCTACCGCCTGTCTGTCATTGGAGGTTTGTGTGCTGCTGTGATGCCGAACAGGTTCCAGTGGAGCTTCTAGACTAAGACACACTAGGAAGAAAGGCCTGGTGATCTACAGTTATGTGCTGCATGATGTTCATTCAGCTCAGACCGCATATGCATCCATGGTCCAGCATGCACACTCAGGGGGATGCCCACAGCACGACATTGAGACCGCCCCGCCACCCTCCACTCATGGAAACAGGCACCACTGCTACTGGGAGAAGTGGGTGCCAGATCCTACCCCTGAGCACCCAAAGTCAGCAGGCATTGCAGGGGTGCCTTGTTGCCAAAACTGCTCCCTTGCTGCCCAGCCTGCGCCTAGAGCCTCCCCACTGTGACCTTCACGGGGCTGCAGGGCCATGTGCCCAGAGGGACCCGGCTGAGTGCTCACCCGAGGCACTGCAGCGGGACCTGCTGGGGCTGTGCTCTGCACAGCAGCCCCCAGGCCCATGTGCCCAGGAGCCCCGTGCACCCAGGTGTTCGCAGAACATCTAAATCACATGATGTCCTATTTCACAGAACATATCACAGACGTTCAACAACGCACGACCGTACTTCAGAAAATTAGCCAACAAAAACCCTGTGGATCACAACAGCCTGATCCGCAACCCATCACAGGGATGGCACAGGACCAGGAGGCACTTCGTTCCATTGTGCTTGGGGTCGCTATGAGTCGGGCCCACTCGATGGCAGCTAACAACAGCAACGACGGTAGGAAGCACGCCTTGTCCTTCCCGTGGGTCTGGCCTCCCACAGGACCTCGCTAAGTAACTTGTAGTTGATGATTATGAAAAATTAAATGCATTAGTATTTGGCACCATTAGGTATGTCTATGCAATAGTCTTATGCATTCTGCTGGACAAAACAGGCTAAACAGTTAGGTCTCCAGCTTATAGACTGCATTCTTAAGTGTTTAACAGTAAGAAAATAAATGGGACTTCAGTATGCCTAATAACTTATGAACAGGAGAAAGCTAGAAAACAGGTCAACTTTGATACTTGCAAAAAAAAGAAAAATTTACCTATGAAAATTCAGTATTGTATTGAACACCTATCCTTGGACAATCTATGAAAATTATTTAAAAAAAAAAAAAAGAGGACCATGATCCCCAAAGAACTTACACAGTCTGGCTAAAAGACAGTGAATCTCTGTGACTCACAGAGGACAATGGGAAAGCGGTAAAGAGACACCTGCAGACTAACACACCACAATCCCTACCCCAACTCTTTGAGAGCAGCAGGGCCTTATGCATTGTGGTGGCCCCTGGTCCCCAGCACAGCAAGGACCCTGCAAATACTGGTGGATGTGCCTAAACTGTAGTCATGAGAGATACCTCCAGAAGTACAGACCACTCAGTCAAAAGAAAGATCACTGTAAGGATAACATCCCTGATCACCCACTACGGTTTGATACCTTTCTTGAGGACTGTAGATATCTGGGTTGCTATGAGTCAGAATTAATTTGAAGGCAATGGTAGATATCTGAGCAGTTTTTCACAAATCCCTGTCTTCACAAAAGGGGTAGAGTACCACAGAAACAACCTACAATTGCTTTCCACCCTTCATCACAAAGAAACCATTTGGGCATTATTGCTGTTGTTGTTAGATGCGGTTGAGTCTGTCCCAGCTCATGATGAGCCACAATGGAACAGAATGCTGCCTGGTCCTGCACCATCCCCATGATCAGATGTGGATCGAACAAGTGTTCCAGGTGACTCATAAGGTTTTTATTAGCCCAGTAAATCAAACTTTTTATCTGAGTGCTGCCTATCTTAACAGGCCAAATGCTTCAATGCAAACGTGAGCTTTGTTAGAAATGTGTCCATCATGTTATATTTCAGGGGCGCAACTCTTGCTTGGAGACTGTTTTAAATTACCCTCCACACCCCACAGTCTCACAGGCCAGATAAGGCTTTTTATCCTCTTGAGACTTCCCTAGTTTCCAAAGCCCTTCACATTAAGCCAAGACTTCCTGGAGAAATTGTATGCGGGCATATTTTCAGTTAGAACAGCTCAGTCTTGTGCGGGCTGGGGAAGAAGCGAAATGTCAGAATACGGCTGGTAGTTAGGACTGGGTAGGAGAAGCATTTTGTCTTTGTTCCTCTATAGTAAATATCTACTAGGATCTACTGAGATAAATCCCTGCTGGGAGGAATGCATTTTAGACAAGGGCTGATTTGTCAGGCTCTTCAATGCTGGCCTTTCTCACAGTGCTGCCAAGATTATGTCTGCAAAGCAGCAACTTTCTGGAGAAATATCAGAGGCTTAGCTCAAGACAGAAAGCTTATTCCAGGAATATATATATAATACATATTTTGGGGGAAAATATGTATTTTTGTCTACAGGGGGAAAAAAAAAACCCACCCTCAAAACAATTCCTAACACTGACAGTTATCGCCATCCAGGGAAACAGTGAAGGTGGGGACAACACTGGGATCTGGCAAGATCCAGGTCTCTTGCACCTCAGTGCTTGCCCCATCTCACCCTTCTGTGTCTTTATTTGCCGTTCTTTTGTATGTCTTCATCTGCTTTTATCCATGTTAAGATGGAAGCGTCTACAAGGGAGAACTGTGCCCCTCGTTAATCAAATCTTTGTACTTGCACCAAGGACTCACAAATAATGATCATGTGGTCTGTTCTGTTAGGTTGATTTCTGGGTCACTTTCCTCCCTTCTGGTCCTAGCTAGTTTCCTTTGCACAGGTTAAAGCCTGGATTCCCTTGTCATTCTCCAGGCACAATTGCTGACATTCAGTTAACTGTGCCACATCATCCTGAGCCAAGTTCACTCTGGGTCTTTCTCCTGGAAGGGTAAGTAGAGAAACTGCCTCATAGAGAGCTCCAGGACTGTCTGACCTTAGAACAGGATAATCTGTCTGCTTCTCAATAAATAAAACGACCAATTCTCCTAGGTTACCTTTGATCCCAACTATAAAAAGATCAGGGTGAGAGAAAGGTCCCCTGGTCATGGGAAAACCCAGTCTGCTGGTGCCTTTGGTGAGTTAATGAACTACCATATACTCGTGGTTCAGGAAGCTGCTTTATAAACATGCTCTACCTGCAATTGTTCGAGGAGGTCAAGGTTCTGTTTGCGTAAGCTGCTGTTGGTTTTCTCTAATTTATCCATTCTTTGGTTGTCACTGAGAGGAGAAGAATCGATAAGCTCTTCTTGAAGCACGTGGTACTCAACTTCATAAGCTTGTAACTGCTTAGAGATGTCCATCTCAAACACCTGTTATATACAGAAAAGTCATCAGCCACTGAAAAATGAGAAAAATCACACACACACACACACACACGCACAAACACACAACCATTTCAACAGCATCCATTAAGCACCTACTCCAGGCTTAGCACTATGCCTGGTGCTATACGGGACAAATAAGAAAGGCTCTATGCTGAGAAGGTAATAATTTTACTTGGGAAGAAAGGATATAAGACATATCTAGAAATAATTCTAAGGTAGCAATAAGTATAGGTTTTTGATACTAATCCTCCAAAAGCCAAAACCTCATTTTTAATAAGGCTTACTAAAAAGCTATTTTAAGATCTTATTCCAGTACTGAATTCTTTTCTCTGAAAATTCTATAAGCCTAGATATACCAACTAAGGTTTAAAAGGAGAAAATAAAAAAAGAATCATAGCCCTGTTTGCACAGTCACCGAGTCAAAGTTTAATTATAGTTCAGTTGGGTTTTCAGAATTACAAGAACAGCTAAATAATGGAACTGTTTACTAAAAACCCTCCTTGCACACAAGAGATGCAGAAATGAGCCAAAACCCAAATGTCACCCACACAGATGAGTGAATAAGAAACAAAGCTCGAGTTGTCTTCCTTCCCATAATAGTAATAGTGATGAAAAAACCACACGTGTGAAAAATAACCCCAAAGTGCAAAAGTGACTCAAGTTCTTCGTGTTTGTACTTTCGATTGATCAAGGCAGGGGGAAGAGGGAGTCAGAAGACAGATTATGCTGCTGCCCGAGGCATCTCCTTTCTTTGCTACTGTTTCTATGACATAACCCCATAGGGCTGAGCCTCCTAGCCCAGGAGTGAAGCCCCAATGTGCATCTGGCAGCTTTGCGATTTCAGTCATGCTGGGGTCATGTAAGAAAAGCCAGCGGGTTCAGAACACACATTTAGAGACTGAAGTTAGACTTTAGAAGAGCAGGAACCGACTCTTCCCTGCATTTCCTTAAGAAAGAGACTCCAACACAATGAAATCAATGAAAAATTAGGTTCCCCTGATGGGTACTCTATTAGCACTCAAAAGGGATGAGTCTTATCTTCCCTGAAATCAGTTTTCAAAAAAATGTGTTTGCTTTCTCAGTATTCCCAACCATCTTTTTTTATTTCCCCTTCCTTGAGATTAACTTTTCAGCTTCCTGATTTTCAATTTATTCAATGTATAATACTAATAATGCATAAAAGTCATTCCATGTCTATGAACTAAAATCCATTATATCTGTGATGTGTGTACGTGTGTGTGTATAGTTTCCTGTATTGAACTGATTCTCTTTTGTCTCTCAGAGTGACTGTAAGGTCGGTAGTGATTACCATTCCCTTTTATAGACGTGGGAACTGTGGCTGGAAAATGTTTAATGATCTGATAAGGCAGAGGCTTTGGAGTCAGCCCTGAAATAGGGGCTCCACTGGTGACTCTGAATAACCCTGAACAAGTTACTTAACACTCTGGCCTTTGTTCCTCACCTCATATAAGAGGCAATAATACTTAAAAACCAAACCAAATCCACTCCTGTCAAGTCGTTTCCGACTCATGGCGAACACGTGTTACAGAGTAGAACTGCTCCATAGGGTTTTCTGAGTTGTAATCTTTTTTTTTAATCGTTGTTGAAAATATGCACAGCAAAATATACGCCAATTCAACAATTACTGCACGTACAATTCAATGACACTAATTACATTCAAGTTGTGCAACCATTCTCACCCACCTTTTCCAAATTGTTCCTCCCACACTGCCATAAATTCACTGCCCCCTAAGCTTCCTATTTAGCCTTTCCAGTTATTGTCAATTTGATCCCATAGAGATAGTTCTTTAAAAGAAAATGATGCTCAAGGTAGACATTCTTTACTAATTAAAATAAACTGTTGTTTCCCTTAAAGAAAACTTCAGGGACTATTTTTGGTTTAAGGTTTAAAGATTATCTCAGAGCAATAGTTTTGGGGGTTCATCCATTGGCTGTAATCTTTACAGATGCAGATCACCAGGCCCTTCTTCAGCAGCATGGCTGCATGGGTTCGACCCCCCAACCTTTAGGTTAACAGACGACTGCAAACTGCCTGTGCCACCCATGGGATGATTTAGGAAATTCTGAGCATACTACATGGCAAAGTGAATAGGTGCTCACTTAGCTAACTGATCTGCTTCCACAGACTTGTCATGCAACCCTCACATTTCAATCTTGTGTGCCTCTGCAAAATTATAAACAATTCCACACCACAGAGCTTCTGAATAGCTCCAGTAGAGTAAAAACCACAAACGGGAAAACCGAGATTGCCGTGGCATTAGTGTGCAATTACAAATATGGTGCTGAATAAATGTCACACTGCACACAGTTACTTTTTTTCTTCTACAATGATTTATTTTTAAATGATCTCCAACCTGGAAAGCCTTGGCAGCAAAACCTCTGGCCTTTTATACGGATTGATGATCTGCGGAGGTTAATGGCTCTCAGCTGTGCCCAAAGGCTGACCTTCTATCCCAGCCTCCATTAATCCCCAGGAACCATCCCGGGTCATAACCATCTCTACTTAATTGCATCATTATCTCCTGACTGCCAAAACACTTACAGTCATTGATTTTGCAGTTATGCCCTGGAATTTATCCCAAACCATGGCAGTGCAAGGCTGGTGGTGAAAGGCAAGCCCTGGCCCCTGAACAGGCTTTCAGTCCTCTGGTCAATGACTTAGGGAAGGGACAGAGGACAGGAGGATGGTGGGAGGGGCCCTGTCCTTGTGCACTTAGAGGGCACAAGTGACCCGCTACCAGTTGCAGTTCTTGGCCAGAGAAAGAGCAAGCTCAAAAACCAGCTGCTGTTGAGTCGATTCCGACTCGTGACCCCACGGGTTGCAGAGTGGAACTGCTCCATAGGGTTTCCTACGCTGTAATCTTTACAGAAGCACATCCCCAGGCATTTCTCCTGTGGAGCCGCTGGGTGGGTTTGAACCATCAACCTTTAGGTTAGTAAAGTTGAGTGCTTTACCAGTTGCGCCACTCAGGGACTCCTAGAGAAAGAGCAGGCAGGCCTAAAATTAAAACCTGATCCAATAGTATTTGTCTCAAAGAACACAATCAATGAACAAAAAGAGGAACTGGTTGTTGGTGGGAAAGCAGGATTCACTGTGAAGTCTTCTCATTTCTTGTCCAAGGTGTACCTGAGGCTCAACACGTGCAGCTCCCTCCCACTATGGGTGGAGAGACCAGCTCTGGCTATGTCGCCTTGCCCTGAGCACCAGTCACTTTACAAAGCTGCAAGGGTACGTTGTCACTCTGCAACGTGGAGTGGCTTTAATTGTCTATCCTATTTCAGAACGATTCCACTAGACTCATACCTATTAGGGATGGGGATGGTACACCCTGGGTGGTGTGAACAGTTAACATGCTTGGCTGCTAATTGAAAGGTTGAAGGTTCGATTCCACCCTGTAGCACCTCAGAAGGAAGTCCTGGCAATCCACTTCCTAAAAACCATCTATTGAAAACCCTTTGCAGCACAGTTCTACTCTGACACACGTGGGGTTGCCACGAGTTGCGATCGACTGGACAGTAACTCGAAGTGCTTTCCTATCACCCTGGCTCTTTGTTTCTCCAAGGTTTTTGTGCAAGTTTCAGAATTTGTGGGATGAAGAAAAGGAAACATGCGTTCCTTCTTGCTGAATTAGGAATTAGCCATTTTCATATTTGCAATGGTTTGCCAAAAAGATTACCATTTTTTAAGTTATTGAAGCAACAGAGCTACACTATAGGAAGCTTGAAAACTAAAGAAACACTACCAATACAACTTCCATTATCTTATTATATTTCATCTTTTTTTTCTATAAACATGTTTTCCTAGTTGTAAACACAAGCAAACTTTCCTATCCTATTTTTTCACTTAGCATTATAACATAAGAACTTTATCATGTTGCAATGTCTTTTTCGTAAGCATAATTGTAAACGGCTTTGTGGTATTCCATCAACTTGACATACCATAACCATATTTACCCATTCATCAATTGTTGGACATCTAGTTACTTCCAAGTTTTTGATATAAATAATAACTCTAAGAAAACATTCTTGTACATATGGTTTTTCCCATATTTTGGATTACTTTCTAAGCATACATTCCAAGAAGTGGGATTACTGAGTCGAAGGGAATGAATATTTTTCTGGCATGTGATACATATCACCAAATTGCTTGCCAAATGGGAATAGTCAACGTATAATGCCATTAGCAACATACGAGGTACCAGATACAACATATCCTTGGCACTAGATCTAGACATTAAAAATTTCATTTTATTAATCTAGTAGGTAAAGCATTACATATATGTTAGTTAAATTTAAATTACTCATGAAGCGAAATATTTTCCTAGATATCTGTTTACTAGACGGATCTCCTCTTTAGTGAATTATCTGTTTATGTTCTTGGCCCACTTGCTTAGAAGACTCAGCATTTCTCTTTGCAACATGTGGACACGCTGTATAATGAATCCATTAGCCCTGATGTCTGTAAAATCAGCCACATACTTTCCCCCCTCCTAACCCCTAAATCCCACCCCCATCTGTTGACCTCTGTGGCATACCAAGGTCGGGCTGGTGGGTGCGGTATCCTGGGTATCTGTAAGAAGGGGGCGCGTTGTCTGTGGTGAATTTAAGTGAATTTAAAAACAATAAGAAAACCAACTAAAAGTTAGTCTGCTTTTTATTATCACCATATGTGAGCAATTCTAAATAATACCAGAAGTAAAACACTCCTCCCTACTGCACCCCACCCTCTTGGTGTGGCACGGATTGGCCTTTTAGAACCTGACTCTGTTTTGAACAGTGGGAACTGCCCAAGCAGCGAGGGCTCCTCCCAAGGGTGGAAGAGAGGCCCTGGCACAGCAGTTTTCAGGAGCGTACTCTGCACACAAGAACCTGGTTAAGATGCTGCTTTCTGTCCTCCAAGCTGAAGTACAGCAAGGAATAGCGTGTTTTTAATAAAGGTGCCCACAGCAGAGCTTCACAAATGTGAAGGCCCCCGGGGACCTTGATAAATGCAGGTTCTGATTCAGTAGGTCTAGAGTAGCACCCCCTCCTCCCACAAAAAAAGCCAAAACCGTTGCCATAGAATCGATTCTGACTCATGGCGACCCCATGTGTTACAGAGTAGATCTGCTCCATAGAGTTTTCTTGGCTGCAGTCTTTACAGAAGCTGATCGCCAAGCTTTTTTTTTTCCCTGCAGCGCAGCTGGGTGGGTTCAAACCGCCAACCTTTAGGTTAGTTGTTGACTGCAAACCACTTGCACCTCCCAGGGACCAGATGCAGGCCCCAGATTCTGCATTCCTAACATGTTCCCACGTGACGTGATGATCTGTGGGCCACATTGAATAGAGCTTTAAGGGCGTTAGAAATAAGCTATTTGCTCCACTTGCCAAAGCACACCCACTCCTCTCTTCAACTCTGTTTTTCCTCCTTAAACTGAACCAGAGGCTTCATGGTCAGACAATGCTCACGGTGACACGAAAACGACACCGACCTCCTTCCCTGCATTCCTGTTTATTCCAAGTTTCCCTTCTTCTTGAGCCTGGCCTACTGGCAGAAGATTCTTATGGCTCATATACTACCAACAGTTATCTTGTAGGTACAAAGACACACTGAGGAATATGACAGAGGCTTCAGCGACCCTTGTCCTTCTGCCCTGGACTCTGTCAAATTTGGAACTGCCCCTCCACGGCTGCTCCTAGCCTCTCTTTACTGAGAGCTCCAGAGCCCTGTCCTTGGCTACTTTCCCTCCCATCTGGGTCCAGACTGTGTTTCAGATGCTCAAGCTGAGGTCATCTATGGAGAAGGCATTTAATGAAATAGATCTATGGCTATAATGGAGGACCCCCTAGACACTCCCCTTTCCACCCCTGGCTGATCTATACACAAGACAGTATGCTCTGTCACATGGAATAAATGCACGCATCATCTCTTCCCCGAGAACCTTCAAGGACTTGGGCTTGGGGGTTCTCAGAGGCCCTGCATGTTAACCCTGTTCTCTGAGGACATGAGCCCAGAAGACCCTCTGAAGGGGGGGAGGGGCAGAGAGAGGTGAAAATACTCACGGAGAGTACTCAGATGTTAGGTTCCAGATGGAAAATAGGGGAGGGAAAGAAGGCTGAGAGTTGTCTAACATTATTTGTTTCCCATCAAGACTTTTGGAAGAATGAAAACCTAAGCCCTATAACGTAGATTTTGTGCTACACACACACTCACATTTCTCATTTCCTCCAAAAAGCTGCACATGTCAGGCTCCCAGAAGTTCTCTGTTCTCTCATCCCAGTGCTTCTGCATATGCTGTGATCTTTTAGTCCAGAGGTTGACAAACTACAGGCTGTGGACCAAACCCACCATGTTTTTATAAATAAAGCTTTACTGCAACACAGCCATGCTCATTCACCTGCACATTGTCCATGGCTGCTTTCTGCTGCAAGGCAGAGTTGAGTAGTTGCAGCGGAGTTGAGTCTCTGTCCCTCTACAGAAAATACATGCCAACTCCTCTCTTAGTTCATTCCTCTAGGTCCAGCTGAAATCAACTCCCTCAAGTTCCAACCGGCAGCACTTGGCCACTCCATCAGCCAGGTTCCCACAAGCCCTTGTACAAGCACCACACTTGTAATTACTGGATTACATAGGATGGGTGGGTGAGGCCATGGGCTTTGGAGTAAGAGAGACACGTTACAGTCTTGGCTCTACCATTTAATTACAGTGTCGGATATGTTATTTGCTCCATGCCCAGTTTCCTCATCTATAAAAATGGGGATTATAATACCATGTGCCAGAGTCGGTAAGGAATCAAACGAAGAATGAGCGCAAAATGCAAAATACATGGCCCAAAGCAAATCAGGTACACACACAAAAAGTGTTCTGTTGTATGTCATGTCCATTTCTGTTCTTCTAACACTTAAAAGAACATTTGGTGCATATGAGGTACTCTCAATAAGTGCTTATCCTTTACAGAAGAGAAAAATGGGACTTTGTGGGGAAGGGGCTAGGTATCCAGGAAGATAAAATGAATGCTAGCTGAAACTGCAGCCGTAGGGCCAGAGGTAAGGGGTGAAGCTGGGCACTCACTGGATAAAGACATTGGTCTATATACCCAAGGCTCTCTAGGTTTGCCTTAGCAGCTATAATATATAAGCAATGGAAGCTATAAGAAGGGAATAAATGAATATAAATGCCAGGCAGTAATGAATCAAAAGGGCAGAGAATTCAGTACATGTATTAGGAAAAACAGCTGCCACCAAGTCATTTCAAGTCATGGCAACCTCATGTGTGTCAAAGTAGAACTGTGCTCCATAAGGTTTCAATAACTGATATTTTGGAAGTAGACTGCCAGACCTTTCTTCTAAGGTGCCTTTGAGTGGACTTGAACTTCCAACCTTTTGGTTAACAGCTAAGCACGTTAACCATTTTCACCACTAATACTGAGGAGTCCCTGAGTGGTGCGAGCAGTTAACACACTAAGCTGCTAACTGAAAGTCTGGAGGTTCAAGTCCACCCAGAGGCACCTTGGGAAAAAGTCCTGGTGATCTACTTCTAGGAAAATCAGCCATGGAAAACTCTATGGAGCACAGTTCTACCCTGACACACTTGGGGTCGCCATAAGTCAAAATCAACTTGACAGCAACTGGTTTTCAGTATTAGAAAGCAGGTATAATACAGAAAAACTCTATGATAAAATGACATCCAGAGGCACTAGTTGCTAAGAGCACTGAGAGGGTGGAGGGACCCGAGTTTAAAACCCTACCCTTCCGCTTTGCAGCTGAGTGATTGTGGGCCAGTTAACTAACCACCTTGAGCCCTAGCTTCCTCATGGGTTAAAACCACCTATCCTCCCAGGAATGTGGTCATGATTAAATGAGATCATGTGTGTATACAGTGTCCCACATAGCCTGACAGAAAGTAAGCACTCAACAGTCAAAGCTGTTCACATTAAGAGGAATGCATTAGAGAAATAAAATAGAGAGAGAGGCAGAGCCTATCAGTTAGCTGGAGGTTAAGTGTAGAGTGAAAAGAACTGCGCTTTCATATTGGCAATTACAATGTGCACACAGAGATCAAAACTGACAATTGGTGCAAAATCCTCTCCGGGCCACACTTGCTTCTTTTCCTGTGCTCAACACCTAAGGTGGAGCAGCCAATGAGAATCACAAACACGGCATCTGTGTGTGATTCATTGGAACCGTTGGATTCCTCCTGGACTATGAGAAATCGCTATAGGAAGCTTTTTTTTTGTTTTTTTTTTTAATAGCTTTATTTCACTACTTGTTATCTAATTGTTCCATGTTTTCATTAAATTTGGAGCAAGTGAGGTAAGTTCTAGGCTTACGAGAGGCCTGGCTGCTGACTCTGAAGCAAGTGATATAAGAATCTCTTCTAGAACATTCTTAGACATCCTGCCTCTGGTCACTTCCAATGGTGACCTCACCACTCTGCACAGCAGCTCAATCCTTCCTAGTCAGCAATTATTACTAGAAGATCCTTTTTTTATTTTTTAAAAAAAGAAGATTCTTCCTTATACAGAGTTAAAAATCTGCTCCTACCACCAATCCAGACTATTTGCTAACTGGTCTAGTTGTAATTCCCAGCTAAATTTACCTCTTAACCCAACCATTCCAGACAGTAATGGTTGTACTATATACCGGAGTACTGATACCACAGATGTGGAACTGAATTCTGTAAAAGACCATGTCATGGAACAAACTTACAGACTATATACTCCCTATCACAACTCTGCTATCAAAGAGCTTTTTTTTTTGAAAATTCCAATTAATATCATGCAGCAGAAAAATTAAAGCACTCATTTGTTAAAAGCTACATTATATAAATGGTTGTATTTTAGAAGAACAAACTACTGTGGAAGAAACCTCTTAAAGGGAAGAAACTTTCCACTGATAATGTGTGCTGTGATCCCACCTAAACATCACCGCCATGTTTCCATGTGGCATCTCACTCACACACACGCAATGTTTAGTCACTCCACTCAGAGACAAGAATATTTGCTATGTGCCTCCTTCCTATGCTAGATATAGTGCAAGATGCTGTTCAGGACACAAACTGGTAGTAAACCACTTCTGTGGAAAAACAAATGTAAGTTTCTACATATCCAGGACCACATAAGCCTGTGGGAGGTTCAGACTGAACCATACCTGATTGATGGTCTTTTCCATTTGTACCAACCCCAGGTTTGGTAATATATTTTTTATAAAGTCAACTATGGTCTCTAGGTTTTCATGCTGCAGAATCAAGGGCTTATGGCTTCCCAACAAACTTAATGCCACTTTAAATATGACTTCTGATCCCTGAAGAAAGATCATATCTGGGAAAACAAAGAAATGCAGAAAGTTAAATCAGTTTCTGATGAAATAACATCCTGTTTCCTTTTCCACAGTAAAGGGATGCACATCACAGAGCAGAAGGGTAGGAAAGACAACATCAAATCATGAACTTTATTCCCTTTCTAGCATGATATTTCAGATGGGGTTGTCAAGGCAATATTGCAAATAATAATAATAATAATTATATATATA